CTAATATGAAGGTAATAATTAACTGTTTTGTAGCTATACAAACACTTAAATTACACTTTTATTTATTTTTATAATAAGAAGATTATATGAAATATAAACATTTAAATGGTGGCTGTCATAAAAACTTGCCAGATTTATTCAAATATGCATTAAATATTGAAGAACACTAACGAGTGTGGACTAACGAGTTTATGTGCGTTTTCTGAGGTAAATATGACGATGACATTGATTACAAGCTGTTTAACTGACGTCTTTCCACGGTTGAAACGCTGATTGAGCGAATCAATGTGACATGATACGGATTTAGATAAGTTGTACTCGATCTTTTAACACACTTTCAGATGCTCAGTTCATGTTTATTTCGCGCTGTGACTGGTATTATTAACCCGGAAGAGAGATCAGCGCTGCTGCTTCTCCAGAGCGATCTCACGCCACAGCGCCAAAACGCTATTTATGTTTTTGAATTTCTAAAGAAAATGGACGTAATTTGAAAATTGAGACTTTGTTTCATATCAATAGTAACAAAGGACAAAGATTATTGCGATATTTTGGATGCGCGCAGCCGCGATACACTGTTCCATTCATTCAAATGAAACAGGATGACTAATCGATTCTTGAGATTTAAGAATCGATATCGGTTTGTAAAAATGAGAATCGATTAATATCGAGAAATCGATATTTATTACCCAGCCCTAATTTACACTATTCACTTTGCCAGAACGTACTGACTAGGAAAAGCTTATGCCAAAAAGGAAGTAAAAACGGCGTGATTTGCAATGGATTCAGACAAAATAATACAAGCTTTTGCTTTCCGCACCATCTTTAAAGGTCATCAAAACATGAGAAAAAGACAAGATGTAAAAAATTAGGATGAAATTAAACTGAAAAAGTGAATGAAAGTAAGTAAAAAGTGCAGAAAAGGCATTTATATTGTTACAAAAGATTCAAATAAATTCTGTTCTTTTGAACATCCCATTCATCAAAGAATCCTGAAAATTGCATCAAGGTTTCCACAAAAGTTAGTTAATTAGTTAGTTTGTTTTATTTAAACATCAAGTTGGCATATCATTTATTTGGCTTTATTTTTTTACTCACGGCATGATTTAGTCCAGTTTACCAATACTAGAGCCCGACTGATAAAGGATTTTGAAGGCCGATATCGATCGATACAAATATTTGTTTGTTTTAAATTCCGATATATCGGCCGATTTTTTTTTTTCAGAAACGCGCAACAAAACATTAACAGATTTCCCTAACATTAGTTATTTGTGGTTATTTTTGAGTTTTAACTAAAATAATATAATAATGCATTTAAAAAAAACTTGTTTCTTTTATTGCCACAACAAAACAGACGGATGATAGTGGCATTAGCTAGCTTTGTGGTTAGCTAGTCTATGATGAGCCATAATTTAGCAATGGATAACGTCATAATTGTAAAACATAAACTTTCAATACAACAGGCCGAGGAGAGATGATCCGTCTCATTGCTATAACCGTCACGCGCTATTAAAGAAATTATTATTAAAGACAGTCAGTCAACTTATTTAACAGCAGCAAAACTGGCCATGATAGTCACAAATTTTGTCATGCTAATTTGAGTTTAGAGAACTGATGGGGATGTTCTTTTAATTGTTATTCAAGCAATGTATGTCTCGTGACCAACTCAACGAGTGTTGCCGACAGGAACGGTGTAGAGTGCCCTCTGGTGGACAAACCATACAACTCCAGCCCTCATGACAAGGTTCAAGCGTGTTTCGTCCGTTTTTATTTTATTTTTGAAATATTCATTTATCGGCCGTTATAACTGCCGATACCGATAGTTTGGAAAATGCCTGATATATCGGTCTGGCTCGAACCGATACTTTGCATTTTATATTATGAGAGCACTTTTTTGCAGCCTGGGCATTGAAAAGAGTCATGTGATCGTGGTTGGTGACATCATTCGCCACTGTCGCTTTTTTAATGACGCAAGACTCGCATCGACAGGGGAATATACACTAATCTGTCTGATTACATGGCAAATGCAAATGCACCTATCAGATTCATTTCCACATATGAATGAGGCCTGAAACCGGTCTGAGAAAATAGGATTCAATGTGCTTTCAGTTTATGGATCATATCTGATATGTGCCAAATGGGAGGGATTGGGTCACTTGAACAATGTAATGTGACTCCAGTATACTATGTTTACTACTAAATCTATCAAAGATAAAAGTTGGGAATATAATAACAGACCTGTTCCCATATACACCAAATGTGTGCATGAAGATGAGAAACACTTTTCTCAGGAGGATAACAAGATTTAGGCTGACGTATTTACGTGTAAACCAAGTAAGCTTCGGTGGATCCGACACGTCACATGATGTGTCCCATGCTAAAGAAGTACCAATAAACGAGACGAGCCATGTGGGAACGATTAAGAAAACAGCCGTCCATTACTAAACTAGAAAACTGGAATAATTCAACTCACATATAGAGCTGCCATTACAATAAAGCCACCAGCGCCATCTCGTACAGCTTGAATGAGAACTCATATTATGTATAATGGTAATGGTTAACTAACTATGGTATCTAGGTAGTAATTATTGTTTCCATGGCCATGGTAAATGCTAATAAGCGTTCTGCTTCAGCAGCACGTGGTTTACGGTTGCACCCCATCAGTGTCTAGTTTCACTATAACACACCAGGTGTGTTTGGGAGTCTATTGAAAGAAACCCTGTCTGATGATGAATATCAGATTGCCTTCAGGACGAGGATGGCTTGTGTGTATTACTCTGCATTAATATCTCACTACATTTGTGCAACCATAACACTGATTCACGTACGGCTTCCCACAATGCAACACACTCAACTTGACCTTTCATTTCAGTGTGATAAAAGCTGTCTGATTGATGAACACTAAAATTAGTTTCTTCATGTAATATAAAGAGATGCATGATTGTACTTTGACCTGCATGTATGACGTAAAATGGATTCAGGTGTTGATTAAACTACAATATTACTACAAGGAACAACTTGCATTCGGAACAACTTACTCATAGTTTTTGTATACATAAATGTATTGAAGCCCATGACCACGACATAAACAGCCAAAAGTATGACGTATACTATGTGCTAATCATTAAATAAAAAGTTTAAAACTTTTTAAGACTGATTTTTCAGGTGCCAGTTGCATAAACAGCTATTATATTAAAGCTGTTTCTTAAAGGAGTAGTTCACTTTTAAATAAACTTTTGCTGATAATTTACTCACCCCCATGTCATCCAAGATGTCAACGTCTTTCTTTCTTCAGTCGAAAAGAAATGAAGGTTTTTGATGAAAACATTCCAGGATTTTTCTCCTTATAATGGACTTCAATGGGGACCAAACGGTTCAAGGTCCAAATGAGAGTTTCAGTGCAGCTTCAAAGGGCTTTAAACGACACCAGACGATGAATAAGGGTCTTATCTAGCGAAACCATCGGCCATTTTAAAAATAAATAACAAAGTTTAAGTTTATAAGCACAAATGCCCACCTTGCTCTGTTCTGTGTAACTCTCCTGTTCATCAAAATGAACGAATCTTTTTCCAAGTCAATTCGTTCATTTAGTTCGTTGAATGAACCAAATGACTCGAAAAAAGATTTGTTCATTTTGATGAATGAGTTCGAACAGGACTTTGTTTTTTTTATTAACAAAAAACTTTGTTTTTTTATTTTATTTTAACCGGTTTATCAACCGGTCTTTTGGACCTTGAACCGTTTGGTTCCCATTGAAGTCCATTATATGGAGAAAATCCTGGAATGTTTTTATCGAAAACCTTCGAATGAAGAAAGAAAGAAAGAAAGAAAGACATGGACATCTTGGATGACATGGGGTTGAGTAAATAATCAACAAAAGTTTTTTTTAAAAGTGAACTACTCCTTTAAGTACTAGTTTGACCAACTAGCGGTTAGTCAACCAGTCTTACTTATAATAACAAATTAGATCAATCTCCATTTTAATGTAACTGACTTAAAGCGGTTATGAACGGTCAAATAGAAAAACAATACAGTTTATGCAACCGGCCCCAGGTCACTAAGGTCAATTTTTTTGTCAATTTCATATTTGAAATCATTATTTCATAGACTTCATCTCGTGATGACTTAATGTCATAATTATGATTTATAAAAGAAAAGTGAAACTACATAACAACATACTTTCCAGTTTATACTGTGCATCATTAACATGCATTCCACTCTAAACGAGCTAGAGACACACACTCGTGGGCGTGGCTTACGACTTCACGCGGGGGCGCGCTCGACTCCCCTCCCAGAACCCGCAACAGAACTCTTTTATGACGTCACAGAATTCCCTCTTATTCGCGCTTTTCCAGTTCCACGGCTTTCCTAAAGTGTCTGTGCTGTGGGGTACTAGTGTTGTTTACCCAAAGGCAATACAATTCGTCTTACTGAATCTGTTGTGTGAAGCACATCTGCGAGTGACAGCACGCAGCACTATCTTACACACTAAAAAAAAACTTTTGATATGAAACAGTCACACGTCGAAATTGAACGTTGTTGCAGTCAGAATGCAACAATATAGCACTTCACTTAAACAAACGTCTCATTTCGCAGTAAAAGCACTGCATGTCGCGGCACACATGGTTTATATTACATGGACCTCCACGGTAGCCAACTTCTGATGGCATTACAACAGTGCAGGTCCAAAAAAACACACTTTTCTTAATAATATATGTCAAAAGTGACAGCTCTCAGCACAGACCCCTCATCTAACTCAATATTTCTGAAAGGGAACAGCGCTTCTTCAAAACACTTCCTCATCAGAAGAGAAGTAACTTAGCGCTCGAGCTGCAACACCTCAAAACTCCACAAACTTAGGTTTTTATTTGCGACATGTAGCACCTCAAGATTAACACGAATATTGAACACCTCAGAGTTTAATAAACAGCCAGATTCAAGCATTTTCAGACACACCCGGATGCTTCACACTGTAAACTCACACAATAACACAAAACACTTACAAACTTCTTCTTTCCGTCTCCATCTTCGTAGTTCTTCTTGCTTTTCTTATCCTTGTCTTTCCCACTTTTGGGAGCGCCCGCTGATGCTGAGTTTGGATCCATTGTTGTGCTTTAAAATCGCTTATATTCCTGAAAAGAGCAGCGCTGGATCCTCTCACACACACACACAGGCTGGCTGTCTCTGTGCCTCTCAGCGCTTCTTAACCCGCGGCCTGTTGCTGTCGCGCGCGCCGGCCTGTGCTCGTCCTCCGGCACAAAGGAAAAGGAGGGAAGTTTGAACCCCGAATCCCGGATAACTGCTTTTATTCGGACCCTCCGAGACTTAATACGCGCCCTGGTGAAAGCACGCGGGTCTCCCGAGTCCGTACGCGTGTTTTGGCGCAAATGTGTCTCGGTCTCAAATAAACAAACTACGCGTTAAGTGTCTAAACCTATCAACCTAAGCTGTCAATCTACAGAGCTGTCATTAATAACGCCGACGGTCGATATAAAGTCCTTGTGCTTCATGGTAAACACTTCAGATTCAAAGAACAGCCATGAGCAGATCAGCTGAAGTTTTCCGCTCTCTCTCACTCACTCTCTCTCTCTCTTCCTGTGTGTGTTGGGCAGGTCAGATGGGAGGAGCCAATACGCGCACATACACACCTGAGTCACATAACACACACCGGTAGACAAACACTGACGCCTGCTGACACCTCTCAGCTACACTCATGACAAACATGAAAATATGCATTCAAATTCTTTTTAAATGTTATAAAATGTTCTGGTTGTTTAAAGGAAGGACTTGTTTTAAACAATAGCATAGTAATTTATACAACAAAAATCGAATAATGAAATATTCAATGGGTGAAACTTCCCAATTCAGCTCTGATAACATCAATATGAATAGTTATTTTGCAGAAGTCAGTTCACTGTTGTATTATTTTCTATGTCCAGTATATTGTGTCATGTTTATTGAGATGAGAATATTGTTGGTGTGTGTATTGAGTCTCCACATTATTGCCATACATTTTGTTTACCTCGCCCTACTTTTATTCAGCATGCATGTAATAAATTAGGATTCAATTAAACAGAAAAAGTGAATGCAGTAAATCAAAAGTGACAGAAAAGGCATTTATAGGCTATTGTTACAAAAGATTCAAATAAATTCTGTTTTTTTTGAACATCCCATTCATCAAAGAATCCTGAAAAATGCATCAAGATTTCCACAAAAAAAAAAAATGTTTTCATTTATTTTAGATAGTTAGTTAGTTGTGAATTTATTTATTTTATTTAAAAATCATGTTGGCTTATTATTTATTTGGCTTTATTTTCTTACTCACGGCATGATTTAGTGCAGTTTACCGATACTTTGCATTTTATATTATGTGTTCTAATCAATACAACTAAAATCAATAAGTCTGAAAATTGTAAAACTGTAGCCTAGTTGATTGGAGAAATCTTAAACCGTGTTTTATGTGTGAGTGAAGCGCGCCCCCTGCTGGTCATAACTGTTGCGCGCCCCCTGCTGGTCATAAAAGGAGCATTCATGTTCATGTGGAGTCCCATTAGTCCCATTAAAAGGTGAAAGCAGAACGGATCGTAATGAACTCAAGCTGGTTAAGACATTAAGAGTCATTTCACTCTGTTCATCCTTCCAGTGTCATTAACTTTAATGCCAGGCTTCAGGACCACTGGAGAGAAGTTGCTGAGAGTTGACTGTTCAGCGGTGTGTGGAATTAACAGGCCTCGTATGGTCACGTGTGCCATCATTGCCATGAAGGGACACAATTGAAAGGCTCTCTTTTTTTTAAAAGGGAATGCTTCACCTCTGGAAAAAATTAATGTGTATTTAAAACAGGTCATTTATGTAGAAGAAATGTAAAATTATGTTTAAATTTGGAGCTTTTTGGATTGAGAAAAGCCAGAAAATGTCATTTTTGGCTTATGTGGATGAAAGACAACAACTCCCAGAATGCACTTGCTTCACGCCTACCGGTAACAGAGCGCATTCGTTAACTAAACAACAACTCCAGGCTTCTATTGGCTACTATAAACATGACTCATGCACGTCTTGTCCCGCTTGCCACAGTAAACATAATAAATGGCGATTTCCCTTGTGGGAATTACTGAATAGGTCAAATGAACTTTCATCTATCATGAACAGTGAACACTATAAACATTAGCTTGTGTTTAAGATATCAAAACTCTCTCAACACACACTCGCTCATGTCTGGTTCACTATATGGGGACTTAGTCTTGATGATGTTTACAATTAAAAACTGTATATTCTCTCCCCTTTACACCAACTCTACCCCTAAACCCATCACACACAACTATCTGCAATTTTACTTTTTTTTTTTTTTTTTTTTTTTTTTTTTTTTTTTTTAAGTAGGATGTTTTCCTCATGGGGACCAAAATATGTCCCCTCAAGGACAAGGATTTCTGGTATTGCCATCTTCGAGGGGACATTTTGCCCTCCTCAACTATCAACCACAACACAGTTGGATATTTCTGTCATGGCCATTTGTTTCCTCCAGTGTTCGTGAGCAGCTCAGGAAGGCTCTTGAGGACAGACACACATTCATTTGTCTTGCTTTCACATTATGTCTCTCTCTTATCGAGTCGCACCTGACTCTCTGCGTCTGTCATCACAGCTTTACCGCATCGGATGCGGATTAAGACAGATATCAGATTGATTTATATCTCTGCTGGCACTGTCTTGCGTAACTCCAGGAGAATAACTGTCAGACAAACGTCGATAGATGATAGGCTCCGCTGGCTGGAAGCCGGACTAACGACTGCTCGACTCGTTTAGTTGCTGCTTTCATCCGAAGAGAGTCTCTCAGGACACAATGGTGATGATTTATAACGGTGTGAATCTGAAACTCTTAAACTCTGGTCTTTAATGGAACAATTCAACTCTAAAATTATAATTCTGCCCTCATTTACTCACCCAAATGACTTAGACTACTTTCTTCTGTGGAAGATTGTTCAAATCAAATCAAACCCGTTATTTCAACCCGATCACACTAAATCGTTCAATTTATACGTTAAAAATGAGTTTTACGTGCATATGATACGCATGGATTGGTTGGGTAGGTTTAGTGGTGTGGGCTGCGTGTGTATTATGCGTTTGGGTAGAATAGAGTGCCGACGTGATGACGTCACTTTGTAGGACAACTCGGAAGCTAGCGGCGCATGGGTTCCCTCGGTCGAAAAGCAATGCATCTTCCCCATAGACTTTTGGAAAATCGCAAAAAATAAGATCTTAACAAAGGGTTGTGACCCTTACACGTTTTGTCTAGCAAGATAATCTTTACAAGTTAATCCAAAATTTATACATTTTGAAAGATTTTAAAAAACACAATCAGACACAATAAAGTTTAAAAAAAAACACAAGCAGGTTATAACTGTGTGTTCTATGTCATAGTTCAAAACGTGAAAATATTTAGAGGCTTTGTTCACCACAGACCTTATTTCAGGCGATTTAGCAAAAACCCATTCAAAAATCCCATAGACTTTTTAGAGCGAGGGAACAGTAATGCTAAAATGCTACGTCACTTCCGCGTTTTGGCCTACAGAGTGACGTCGTAACTTCGGGTGCGCCGTCTATGGGGGTGCGCGTGTATTACACGCAAATGAAGTGCGTGTATTACACGCAAATGAAGTGCGCACTGCGTATCAAATGCACGCGAAAACTAATATTCGCATATAAATTGCACGAAAAGGACTAAAAATAGCCTAGTTTTTGTTAATTATCTGAAATTAAATGAAATATAATCATCAGATGAAACCATAAACAGACTGGCAACAAATTGAATTAAAATTATAATGCTAAAATAACTAGGTTTAAAAAAAAAACTAAAATTAAAAATGACCAAAGCATGTAACAAAATCTAAAAAAAACAAACTACAATACAAAAATGAATGCTTATTCCAAATATTAATAAACAATATAAAAATATAGCAATGAATATTGCTAGCACTGGATTAAACCACCATAAATGTTGTTCATGCAACTCATCAAAACGTATTCTTTTGTGTTTAATGGAAGAAATACATTCATACAGCGGTGTGTTGTGTTTCCTGAGAGCATCGTTAGCAGACTACGGTCAAAGTTCTGTCGTTCCCAAACATAATTCAACGATTTGCTTTCAAAAAGCATTGCAAGCTAAATTGGTTTTTGAAGATCTTGAGGTTTGATGCATAGTTTCTTGTGGACTTAAATAGATTGAGCTCTTGGGCACAAGAAGTAAGCTAATATTCACTATAAATGCAATCCCATTAGGTGTCATGTTCGTTACAGCAGCATCTCGGAGGAATAGATTAATCAGCAGAAGCTTTTACTTCTTCACCTGTTTGTGATGACAGTCCTATATTGCTGAACTAATGCTTCAGGCGGCCATGTTTTCAGGAAACAGTCGAGACTAGATGGTTCGATTCTCCAACGATGCTTCATCCTAAGGTAGTTAAACAATGAATGACATCGTTAAACGGGAAACACACCCCAGGTAAATGATGACATGAGGATGAAGAAATGAAAAGGCCGTATAAGCTCTGAGGGCAAGGTCAACAAAGGTCATCAAGGTTGTCAAAATTTTGACACAGATGGTCATGAATGTGAGATTTAATCATGGTTTAACACCGTACAAGAAAATAATCTGTATTACATAATGCACACAACTCGTGATAAACCCTATATGGGCAGAAAAGGCCGTGCAGAAGTACAAAACAGTCATTATATACACAGACAGATCAATGAGTCCGGCTGCAATCCGTGCTGGTTCTGTTATCCGAACCGCTCCGGGTCATTTGTAGGAGCTGCGGGCCTCTCGCAGTGACCGGTCGTAAGGCATGGAGGCGAAGAAAGAGTTCCTCAGCTGACAGTTGATGAAGAACACGATGAGGAGGACGAGGAGGAAGAGCACCAGACACATCACCACATACGTGGCCAGGTCGGGTTTGTCGGGCTCTCCCTCTCGCAGCGAGCTCCCCCGGCCCGTGGGCTTCAGGAGGGCCGACACACTCACGGGCCCGTGGGACACGTTCAGCGGCGCCTGCGTGTGTGTGTGGGTCATCAGGTCGAAGTCTCGTGCCGCTGCCGTGGAGTTCAATAGCATCTGCCTCAGCATGATCAATCTAGCCTGAAACAGACAAAAGAAGGTGTCACGTGCAGTATAAGAATTGGCTAAACACATATGAAACACACTGGGGCTAGTTGTCACAAAGTCTTTATCTCAGGTTTTGAGTCAAATTGTACAAATGCTTCTTTTCTTTAGCAGAGGTTTGTTTGTTGGTTTAAAACACTGAACTAATAACCTAATATCAACATGTTTATTATACTGGTTGGCTAAATATGAAAACACAGTGAAATCATATTGACATAAAATAACAGAAAAGTCGCTATATATATTTGGGCTGTCAAACGATTAATCGCGATAAATCGCATACACCAAGTTTGAGTTTACATAATATATGTGGGTGCACTGAGTATAATTATTTTTATACAAATACATACACATGCTTGTATATATTTAAGAAATATTTTCATACTGTATATAGATTTATATGATATGTAAATATAAATATTTTATATATAAATACTATTTTTTTTTTCTTAAATATACAAGCATGTGTATGTATTTATATATATATATATATATATATACAAAATAATTATACACAGTGCACCCACATATATTAGGTAAACACAAACTTTTATTTTGGATGCGATTAATCGTTTGACAGCCCTAATATATATATATATATATATATATGGTGGATTTGAACTATAGTTTTGAATTTGTCCTCATGATACATATTTACACAAGGCAGGTTGGGGCAAGTTGTCACATGGTTTTGTACAGTTCATTAACAAACACTTTCCACTGGCCAAAACAATGTTTTATTGATATATTTAAGACTTTTTCCCCCTCTTTCATGAATTGATTTTATAGGACTAATTGTTTCATTTTTAATTCATTCATATTTTGCTTTTTTTGTTACTAAAGATAGAATTTTACATATAAGGTTTTCTTCTCAAACTAGATGACTTACCCCATATCGTGTGCCAACATGCCCCGCCCCGATAGCCTACAAGTTTAACGTGTGGTGTGCTCAATAAACAGTATATTTCAAGGGGGAAATTACGGTGAAAATTAAACAGTGATCAAGAGTTTAATATTTGTGTCTGCACAGTAATTAAGTTTCATGAAAAATACACCTAAGAGATAAGCATTTAACTAGAATAAAAGATGTAACAACTTACCACAGTCTCCTAATGTAAATACAGGCTATGCAAAGCTATATTTTAGTGCAAAAACAAAAAATATATATATATAATTTACTAAAAGCAAATGAAAACACCGTTGAGCGTTGCGCAGGGATCCACTCACAGTCTGTGCGCCTCGGACAGGAGTCGTTGCGTTCGCATACCACACAAGACCAGCAGACCTCCTCCAACACACCTCAGACGGGGGCTCTGGTCCTCGGCACTACATCCACAGATGGCGCAAACAGTCTATCCATGTCCCACAATGTGCGTTTCCATAGAGTCTTGCGCTATCGGAGAGAGTGGACCTCTCCAATCACACCGACGGATCTCCAAATCTCCACAAACGTCTCAATAAACGCGCAAGAATCACCCACACAGAATCACTCCTTTCACACAGGTTTCCATGGTTCGGAAGGCTTATATCCGGGGAAAGTGGCGTCCGTCATCCACTATACCTCAGGTGATGGGTGCCAATCGATCCGGTTCGGCTGAAGTGGAAGAGAACAAATGAAGGAAACATAGAAACGAAAGATTAACGAGCAGTTTTCTGTGCGCAATGGAGATGGAGACGCGTATGTCTCGCTCTCTCTCCTCAGACAGACTCTTCAATTTGAGAACAAGTGAGTGGAAGAGTTTCAGGAGGGTGCGGAATGTCTCGGAGAGGTTTTACAGAGAGAGAGAGAGAGAGAGAGAGAGAGAGAGAGAGAGAGAGAGAAAGAGAGAAACAAACATGCAGCCTATCCGCTGAGCCAGACATTTAAAGGGACCGTTTGAGCTGCTGATGTCATGTTCTGGCTCAGATTTGTGCGTGATGTCACATGATGGATCATCAAATGTGTGTTACTGTCGTTGAACTTTATGTGTAGAGCAAGGGTGCTGTATTCCATTAAAATAATGGATCTCTCTCTCTCGTGCATTAGGCTGTGGTGACTGGCGTAGGATTACTAAAGTTTGCTGAAAACCATAGTAAACAACACAGGTGGCAATGAGACAGACACGTGTAGAAAGCCACAGAGAATTAAAGCTCATCACAAGCAGCATTTATATATATAGAAGGTGCACTCAAATACAAAACACATGTGTTTTAGACAACCCGATCTCACGACCAAGTCGTACGAATTCGACGAATGATTAAAAAGTGGCTAATTCGTAACAATTCATACGACCTCACTCGTACGAATTAATACGATTTTGCTAAATCGTACATATTTTACGAATTGGCCAATTCGTATGAATTCGTACGAATGACCTACCCCTGACCCCGCCCCTAAACCTAACCATCACGTGGGTTTAGAAAAATCGTACGAAGTAGGCTAGTACGAGTGAAGTCGTACGAATTAGTACGAATTAGACACTTTTTAATCATGCGTCGAATTCGTACGAATTGGTCGTGAGATAGTGTCACAAACACACACACACACACACACACACACATATATATATATATATATATATATATATAGGTGTGTGCATACATATATATATATATATATATATATATATATATATGTACTCTATTTCTATGCCTTCATTCTAAAAGGAAAAATAAATAAAAATTTGATCACAAAAAATAACAATATTCAACATAACTGAATAAGAAGAGAAAAGAAACCTAAGAAGAAACTTATTTCAATAATTCTTGGAATATCTGTACAAGTTTTCACTGAATTATAAATTGACTCGTTCTTCCAAAAACGTTTATATTTTTACATTTAGATTTTTTTAGTTTTTCACCAAATATAGTAGGGGACTCTTACAGTTAAAATGATGCAATAAAACTGAATGAGACAGTGGAGTCTAGAGGATTTGAGTCTGAAGAGCCTGAAACATACGTTACTTTCTCTTTAATACAAAATAAATCTGGCATGCATAATGTGCTAAATTTGAGATAATCTCTAGAAGAATCAGCTCATCATTTTAATAATCTAACTGACACATTTATTACATTTTTTCCTAAGGAATTAGCACTGCTGAGTGTGATGTTCAAGTAACCTTTGGTGTTGAAGCTCATTAATATTCATATGAGTTTGAGGACACGCCCTCCTTGTGTTAATCACATCATATCACAACTCAGAGGTTAAATGGCTCATCAATATTCATCAGCGTCTGTCTTGAATTAGCAATGATGGGGACAGCGTCACATTGGTTGGGTGACCCCACGAAAGTGAACAGACGGGCCGATTGGACACGGCCATAACATGACTGAGTGTTTATGCAGCAGCTTCATTCACAACTCCATTAAATATAGAGCTTCTTTTTGAGTTGATATTTGCTGCATTTTAAAGAAAAATTATGACAATTCTCATATTTTAATGAATTATTCCTTCAGAATCCTGTTTTTGTAGGGATTTTATTGCTATAGGAAAGCTATTCATGTTACAGTATAGGTTCTTCTAGGTTCTAAGAACTAGAGAATAAAAACTCTGCTTTAAGAGAACCACACTTTAAACCCTCATCCTGCAATTTGCAAGAAAAAATAAAGTTATTTAAGAGTCTTATGCCTTTCCATCTGTAATCTGCATATAAGTAGGCATCTCACCTCATCTCATCTCCTCTATTGCGTCATCATTATTCTTGTATGGTAATCCATAACCAAAGATATTTAGAATCGCATGAATGTGAAAGAAGTGAACCTGGAGTGATTTACATTCATAGTGCATATAAGCTTGACATTATTTTGCCAGTAGTTTTCCAAAATTATTAGTCACTCAGAAATATCACTGGCCACAATTATGGCATCAAGATATCATAGATTTTTTTTTAATATTATCTCGTATTCAGGTATGTTAGGCTGCTGTCACTTTCACAACTGATGCACGGATCCATTATACACATGCACTCTAAAAAATGCTGGGTTGTTTTAACCCAAATTTGGGTCAAATATGGACAAAAACATTTAACCCAATCGCTGAGTTTGTCCATATTTGACCCAAAGATGGGTTAAAACAACCCAGCATATTTTAGAGTGTGAGTTTTCATTCCCAACTGTTCACGTTCGCTTCAAACATGACTAACTGTTTACGAGAATTCTTGCCAAGATATTGTGTGTGTATTTGTTTAAGCACAATAAACAGTGAAAATTAACTCAGTTTAGTACTGTGACGTGGCTTTTATCCGAGAGCACGTTGGGTGTGAGCACAAAATCTGTGGGAATGAGTGAAATTATGCACAATTTTCATAATCCCATGCCTAAATTCAAGCCATGTAAAATCTGGAGCAAATGAAATGAGTGAGTAAATGGAGGTGTAAATATAAAGCAATATCAATATTTTTAAAAAACTACAATTGAAATATATTTACACTCTTAGAAGAAAAGGTTCTATATAGAACCTTAAAAGGTTCTATCAGCGCAACGTATTTGGAACCCCTAAAAGGTTCTATACACTCTTAAAAAATGGTTCCTCTGGGTTCTATATAGAACCCTGAGGTTCCACACTTGGCCAATAGAACCTTTTACCAAAAAAATGGTTCTATATATAGAACCATTTTGGAGTTCCATATATGAAGCGGGGGATGGAACCATTTTTGGTTCTAAATAGAACCATTTCTTCTAAGAGTGTACACTCTAAACAATGCTGGGTTGTTTCAGTTTTAAATGACATTTTTAACCCAACATTTGGGTTTGTCCATAATTGACCCAACTTTGGGTTGAAATAACCCAGCATTTTTTTAGAGTGTATATATATATTATATATATATATATAATTCAAATGGACACCACTGCTGAAATCCACACACATTTGGCAGGTTGGCTAGTGTTAATGTCATGTTCTTAGCCATAAACTTAACATACGTTCTGAGATGCTCTTGGAGTTTGTTTTGAAGCGTTCACATTCACACACAAGTGAAATTCTTGAAAATCAAACCCAGAAACAATCCAAAACACTTTATGACAGATATGCTTTAAAAGAAATAACTGGTGTGGCGTCATTGCCAACATAATCAGGTCAAAACAGCCCGTTCTCATCCCAAGGCATCATATATTGACGCTTTTACCAATCCGCATACATCCATCCAACGCACTTCGCACCCTTTAGCGTTGATATGAGACGCAGATATATATATGGGCCAGAAGGCGCCTCCTAGTGGTCTAACCCTAACCCGACCCCAGAACTAAACCTACCATAACCGAAGCGTGTTATATTGACGCTAAAGGGTGCCATGTGCGTAAATATGACCCCCTAGAGGATGAGAATGCATTGGTCAAAACGTCCCAAAGGGTTCGTTCTTGTGTAAGTGAAGTTTCTGGAGAAGTTCCCTCCAGATGGCCAACATTGCTTTAACCCTTGTGCTGCATTAGATTTTTAACACCGTTGAGTGCATTAAGGACCAAAAATGGCCACATATTAAACATTGCCTAAAATATTATATATTATTATTATTTTCCACTTTTACCAAGTTAAATCTTTTAACCAGCATCAGTCCTCATCATAACTACCAAAAATGTAATCAATTTCAGGATTTTAACCCTTTAATTACCAGTTTTGTTTGCGAAACCATCGATTTGTATAAGAGGAAAAAACACAAAAATTCAATTATTTTCAATAAACTAAATGCAAAGAGAAAACTTTAGATTTGGATTATCACAGTCCCACTTTGCAAAAAATCCCACTTGGATGGGCCACCTATTAAACATTGCCTATTGCCTAAAATAAGGTGCATTTCCACCCATAGGGAATAAATATGTAGTGACGTCATCTGCTGGAATACACTATATAATGCAAATATAATGCTTTTGCTTCAAAATGAAAGGATGTTTGTGCAAAAATCATGTTTCATGTATTACTGACAGCCTCAGATTTAAACAACGCTTTAATGGGTTTCAATGGGCCATTTTTGGTCTTTATGGTGCTGAGTGTTACTATTTGATCTACACAGTGTGTGTTATACATATTTTGCAAAATGGGATCACATTTTTTACATGTATCCAAAAAGCCACAATTTTGCCAAATTTCATACGATTTGCATTAAAACAGCCAAAATGGTCAAAGAAATTAAACTGCAAAAGACCAAAAATGTCCCTAATGCAGCATAAGGGTTAAAGCATAACGCGCTTATTTGTTTGGTTGAGAAGAAAGCGTATTTACCCAAGGCTGCATCTCAACTTATCTTATTTTTGGTGAAGAATGAAGAGGACTTCGCGAGTATATCGGGGCACCCTTTAATCAAATGCTGCATAAAACATTTGGGGAAAAGCTGTCACATGAATGAATGCCAAAGCCCGAGAACATGGAAGTCTGTATCAGATGACCAGGTTATCCAGCTCTAGGAAGACTTTGTGTAAGCATCTTTGCCTGAAGTGCAGAAATCTCCACACCAGCATAAATATCCTCCGGTGGTATTTGCCGTAGCTGTAATTGCGTCGGGATAAGGAGATTATAAATGCTTTGCAAATGACACTTTTCCTCTAAACGGCCCGTTTTGCCACCCGAAGCATTCCTGCCTCCCCCACCAATACACTGACCCATTTTTCTGTTCTTGCGCTGTC